CCCGCACCGACGCGGGGCGGACACCCGGCCCGAGCCCCTGGCAGGGAGCAGAGGCGTCCCCGGATGCCGACCCGCCACCCTCAGCCCCGTGACCCCTGCCCGCGGGCCACCCCAGCCGCCAGGCAAGACCAACAGAGCCCAGCCCCAGCCGCTGCCCCAACCTGGCCCGCCCGGGCACGGCAGCCCCCAGCGCCCCGGCTCGCCCTCCCGCAGCGATCACTAGAGCAGCTGGGGGGAGGGGCGGAGAGCGGGGGCAGGCGGGTTCTGGGGGCTCAGGGGGAGACCTGAGGCGGGGAGGAGGGTGAGGGGGGCCACTGGGCCACGGGGCAGTCCAGAGGCCGCAGGCGGGCGGGGGGGCAGCCGGCTGGGCTGCGCCCACCCCAGGTCACCTTGTCTGCACGCAGGGCTGGCCACGGGACAGGACACCAATGAGTTTTTCATGGACTTCCTGCAAACACTGCTGGTGGGGACCCCAGAGGAGCTGTACGAGGGGCCCCTGGGCAAGTTTGAGGTCAACGACGAGGCCAGGGCTGCGCTGGGCGAGCTCAAGTCCTGCATCGATGGCCTGCAGCCCACGCACAAGGCGGAGCTGGTCAAGCTGCTGGTAGGGCAGCTGGGCCCGCTCCCCTGGCAGGACGCACGGCCCTACCGCCAGGCCTCCGCCAAACGCCCAGGGCAGCACCCCCAGCGCCCCCCCACGGCCTCCTGCCCACGCGCATCTGCTTTCCAGGTACAAGTGTTGGGCACCCTGGACAGCTCCTAGCGACCCCGGGCACCACATGGAGCCGGCCCAGAGCAGCCAGCACCGCAGCACCACTGACCACAGTGGCCGAGGGCGGCTCCCCGGACTGTCGGATCAATAAAGCCTCCCGCAGCGCAGCCTCAGCCCCTGTCTCCCGCCGCACCCCCACCCCGCAGGGCCCCGCAGGGCGGTCCCCACGGCCACCACCGCCTTGGTGGGGGCAGGGCCCAGGGCTAGAGGCCCCCGGGGAGGGGGGCAGGCGCAGGGGTGGCGCCGGCCAGCCTGGCAGGTGCGGGGGCGGCCGGAGTGGAGCCGCCGGGGCACACGGGCCACTGGCCGGGGGGGGCACCCACCTGCAGGCCAAGGCAGAGGGGGCGGCCACTCAGCGCCAGGCCCTGGGCAGCTGGGAGGGCCCCGTCTGAGAGAGGACGCCGGCAGCTCTCGGGACCACCCAGACCCTCACCCGGTCCAGGACCCCCGGCCAGAGCTGCGCCTGGCTTCCCAGCCCCGGCTCCCCCGGGCAGGGCTGACCGGGCCAGCGGCCAGCTCCTCCCCGCCCGCCCAGGCCCTCAGCCGTCACCCCTGGGGAGCCGGTGCCTCGGGAGACAGAGCCCATTGTCTCCATCACAGAGGTGATCTAGAAGCCTCCCTCCACACTGGCATTCTAGGCTTGGGGGTGGCCCCTCCCAGTTCTAGAAGCCCCCAGGGAAAAGGACAGCAGGAGGGAACAGGGAAGGAGAAAGCCAGCGGGAGGAGAGCAGAGGCGGGGGGCCCTCTCCCCTCTCCGGTTCCAGGCCCCCGGCACCAAGGCCAGGGCCGCCTCTGTAGGTAGCTTGGTCCACAGGGTGCCAGGGGGCGGCTGCTGGACCAAGAGGTGAGACCCCTCCACGCAGCCTCCGGCGCTGTGCCCAGCACAGCCCCGGCCAAGAACAGCACCGCTCCCGCCCACTGCCCCACGCCCCGGCCCTCCAAGCCCCTAAAGCCAAGGTGGTGGCCAGCAAGGCACGGAGGGGACAGACGTGCTGTGAAGGCCTCATGCCCCCTGGCGTGGGCCAGGGCACAGCAGACACCTGACCCCAGGCAGGAGCCCCTGTGCCCCTGCTGAGGAGGGTGTGGCCACAGCCCTGACACCCCCAGCACCTGGTCACCCGCGCACCTGTGCACAGAGCCAGCCATGGCAGAAGAGGTGTGGGTGGGCGCCTGGAGGCCCCACCGTCCCAGGGGGCCCATCATGGCCCTCTACAGTAGCCCCGGGCCCAAGTACCTGATCCCGCCCACCACAGGTAAGTGTCTATGGCCGGGACGGGACTCTGGGGCCTGTGGGGTCTGGGCCAGCCAGGGGGATTCTGGGGGTGGGCCAGAAAGGGTCTGGGGAGACCAGGAGATGGCCCCTGACCCCAGCCGTGGGCCCCTGGGCCAGGGGGTGGGTGCCACCCCAGGCCACTCAATGTCCCCGCCCGACAGGATTTATGAAGCACACACCTACCAAGCGGCGGGCGCCGGCCTACAGCTTCCGGGGGGCCCCCATGCTCCTGGCAGAGAACTGCTCCCCAGGGCCCCGCTACAGTGTGAACCCCAAGATCCTGAGGACTGGCAATGACCTCGGCCCCGCCTACTCCATCCTGGGGCGCTACCACACCAAGACCCTGCTGACTCCTGGGCCCGGTGAGTGACTGGCCGGCCTCGGCCCTGCCCAGCCCTGCTGAGGACGGGGCTCCCCGCAAGGGGCAGGGTGGGGGCACGGCCCTGACCCTCCCCCACTCGGGGGTCACCAGCCACAGGGCACCTGTCTGCCCCAGCGCAGCCCTGAACCCCTCAGCCCAGGTCTGGGCAGGCCGGTCTCCGACGGAGGCCTTGGCCCAGGCCCGGGTCAGGCCCTTCCTTCCGCCTCGAGTGCCCCCCCCGTGTTCCAAGCTGGACGTCCTCTGAAGGGTCTCGGCCACCATTCCCGGGGGCCTGAGGTGCCCCCAGAGCCCCGGGCAAGCAGCCCTGCGCCGCCCCCTCCCCCAGGCGACTACTTTCCCGAGAGATCGGCCAAGCACGTGTTTGACGCGGCGCCCAGCCACTCCATTTCCGCCCGCACCAAGACCTTCCGCGTGGACAGCACCCCAGGTGCACGGGGACCCTGACGGCCGGGCCGGCGGTCGGGATCCCGCTGGGGGAGAGGCGGGCGGCGGGACGCAGAAGGCCCGGGAGGAGCTGGGGGCGCCCGCGGAGACTCAGGCCCGCGCTCCCCAGGCCCGGCCGCCTACATGCTGCCCGTGGTGATGGGGCCCCGCGCGGTCGGGAAGGCCTCCCAGCCCTCCTTCTCCATCAAGGGCCGCAGCAAGCTGGGCAGCTTCAGCGACGACCTGCACAAGGCAAGGGCGCTGTGCCGGACGGCCTCAGCCTC